GAGTTCAGGCGTCTCCAGCGCCTGCCTTTGCTGTTGGAACTCCAGAGGCACTGGAAGAGGTGACAGAGGCGATGTCGGGACGGTTTAGAGTTTTGGGGTTTGGGGTTTAGGGTTTAGGGTTGATGTCTGTGGATCTTTACCCATCGGCATAGTAGTTCCTTTTTGGGGTTCGTATTTAGAATCCTAGAAGGTAATCCCAAAAAAAGGAACTACTAGATGTCTGTGGATCTCTAAGGCGAGGCTCTCAAAATCAGATTTTTCTTGTTTAGGGGTTCGTGTTCGTCCTGGCGAAGTCGCAGCAGGCCAGTTGCAAGAAAGGGTTTGGGGACGAATGCACAAGCCCAGATGCAAAAGCGCGGAGGTTGTTTTACACATACCCAGAGAACCCAATACCCCTTAATTAAGGAATGTACCTTAAATTTTAGGGGCCCTAATATTATGATTTATGGTATTTTCCTTAATTAAGGGGTATTGGGTTCTCTGGGTGCACGTATGCACTCTGGACTCTGAACGGCTCCGCAGCGCTGGAGCCTTGTCTAGGGTTTAGGGCTTAGGGCCTCTTGCGTAGTTATCATAAAAAGCACCAAAATGCCGCCGAGGCCGCCCCAACTCAACCTGACTTCAATTGGCCGCCGAAGCCGAAACCCGAAACTGCAAAATTCGCAAACAGAGCACCGCACCCTAGACTCATAAGCCCAAACTGCACAGAGCTCGTATGCCGCCGTATGCGTCTGCGAGGGAAATTGCGACTGCTGAATTTCCAGAAAAACCCTGGACCCCCAAGCTCTGAAGACTCATATACTATATATAAGATAATCTGGTATAATATAATATGCCGTAACATATAAGTATAGTAGACACCGTTGTAAATACTCAACTATGGAAGGCGCCGCCGCCCCGCTGGCGTTCGCTCCGTGCTTGCCGAGACCAGGGCACGCAGGCCAGGAAGTGCTTGGAGCTTATGGTTTCTGGTTTAGGGTCCAGGTGCAAAAAGGGTTGTTTGAGCTGTTTGTTGAAGAAGCTTTCTGCTAAAGGGTTGTTGTTTTGTTTTGCCGTATTGTGCTTTTGGGTGGCTTCTGTATCAGGGAAGACACTGCATTTTGTGTTGGGGCCCAGTTCGGGCCCGACGGTCCAGAGTAGGGTCGGCAAATTCGAGGACATACAGATATACAAGTAAGATACGGTCCTTAATAATTACCTTTACTATTTTTGGGGGCTCCTTATTCTAATTATAATATAATAGAGCCCAAAGCCCTATTCTAATTATGAAGGCCCCTACATTGAAATTCAAGCAGGTGATGGCAGCTTAGGTTTGGGATGTTGAAGAGTCGCCCTCCCCCGGTCATGCGCATCGGCCCTCAGTACGGGCTCAAAAGGTCCTGGATTGTGGCCCGGAGGCTGCATTGCGGGGTGCATGTGCTTTTCTCGCCACAGGCCTAACAAGGGTCGAGTCTAGCTTGGGCAAATTATAATGGGTTTGCCCTAATTTACAGACAACCCGGAAGCGCAAACGTGAGCTCACTGGTGTGTGACTGCATTGACTCGTGGCTGAACTCACGAACTCGCGAATTCGTCGCAATTCCGTGACTTCATGCAGCGAACCTATGCCTTGCGAGTCTGCACTCTCCGATCGGTCGCATTCATTGGAGTTTGGAATTCCATTGACTTCATGCAATGCAAGTCCCATGTCGAGGATGACGATCCGAGTATTCATGCCGAATCTGAGAACTGTCAAGCTGCACGACTGCCAATCTACAATGGCTGGCCGGGGCCGGCCTGTGAATTGACTTGGCAAGCGCAGGTGGTGAAATCAGAGTCAGCGGTGTCTTTGATGTGGCCTGCGTTATGCCACAGCGAACCTCGATTACGATGCTGGTGAGAGCTGGTGTTTTGCCACGTCCCTTTGCTTCTGAACCCGCCTCTTGTGGAGACCGTCAAAGGTTTTGAAGTAGGTCGGGGCCCTTGTTTGCGGCTCAGAACTCACCAGATGTGGTCAGCTGGCACCCGTTTTGGAGGCTTGAACGAAGCCTCTCGCCGGCCTTTTGCCATCCATTCGTAGCTGGGTTTCAGTCTTGCTATGTTTCATAGTTGTGGCTGTGCCTTGGCCGTGGCGTTGCCCGCGCTGCTGCTACCTGTTTCTGCGGCGACAGCTGGAATTCGTGACTGCTTCGCGCGAGTGTGCGAGCCGAAACCTCAAACCGCCCAACGAACTCAGACGCCTCGCGCGGATTGTCCAAGCTGTGAGAATCGAAACCGACGGCAACAAAAAGGTAACCCTCAACCCCTAGATCATCCTCAGTGCTGCCTATCGCTTGTCGATACGAACTGTGAACCAATGGTAACATTGGTATCAACAATCAAGAATCACAAAGCATGAGTGTTATCATGCTTCTTCTTATGATTATTGCTGCTAGTCTTATCATTCGTATTAGTATGGGCATTCGTGTTCGTATGAGTCATTAGTTTTTGTCATTAGCATTAGCATGATTATGATTACTGTTATTATTACGTCGTAACATTATAAGTACTATTATTAGTAGTAGTCGTGTTATTATTTATGATAAGGATGAGTGTTATAGGGCTTGTTTTTCTTATCGTTATGAGTCGGCTATATTATTTCTATAGGTACCCTCCAGGTACCTACTATATAGGGTACTGGAGCCCCTAGGGCCCTATATAGTAGGTACCTGGAGGGTTAGGGGAAACTACCGGAACCCTAAACCCTAAACCCCTAAACCCCTAAACTCTATATGATTCGTTATGATTCGTCTCTATTATTTGTATTGTGAGTGTGCACCTGTGCCCTTTTGAGAGGCGGGAGATCCCTGGCTGGAGCTTGCGCGCGAAGGACATGGAAAGAGCTGATGTAGGGTTTAGGGTTTAGGGTTTAGGGGTTTAGGGTTTAGGGGTTTAGAGTTTAGGGGAGATAATGGGTGTTAGGGATCCTTAGGCCTTCATTGGGAGGCTGCAAGGGGTCTCTACAGTAGGGTTTAGTCTTTTTGAAGTTATCTATTTAAACTTAGGGGTTGTTAGGGGTTTATTTTCCTGAAAAAGAGTTTAGGGTTCGAAGAGCCATTGAAGGGATCTTAAGGGTTGTTTAAGCATTTGCCAGTTGTACTCTTTGCAGTTCAGGGTTGGAGTTCACTCCCGTAAACCCTGAACCATAGTACTCCCAAGTGCGAGATTTTTGCGAAGCTCTTGGCGCGTCAGCCGACCGCCACGCCGCGAAGAGGTACAAGCTCCGTGGCTTCAAACACACCGGGGGTTCTTCATTCGAGCCCGGTACTTGCGACGGTGTTACTTAGTTACTTCGAGGTTCGCATGATGACACCCGAAGCGAGCTGCGCTTGAGTGCTCCAGCCAGCAAGCTCGAGCAAATGCTGAACTTGTGGATCGAGAGCTCTGAGAACCTCGAAACCTGCGGGCAGGTTCGAGATCTGACCGAAATTGTAAATTTCGGTGTAAGTGGCAGTGGGGTGTGTGAGCTGTGTGCCCGACCCATCTTGGTCATCGCGTAGATCATTTTTGCAGATCTGATTGTCTGGTGCTGCTGCGCCGAAATGCGAAAATGTGTCAGCCGCATCAGGGTTCCCTCAGACGTGGCCAGTCAGAATACCTGCTGACTATCCCAAGCTGTGGATCCCAGCTTTCGGAGAGTCATGACAGCAATTGCTGCTTGCTGTTGGCCCCAGGGCGCTCGATTGGTGTGCTATTTTTCACTGTGCATCTTGCATGCTGCTTGAGTTGGTTGAAGTTGAGAAGCTTTGTCTTGTCGATCTTGTCGCCGTACGCCATAGGCGTTGGGCTGACTTGCGTGGTCAAGAACCGACGGTTGAATGAAGACATCCCGTGAAGCGAGCTGCTCTTGAGAGCTACAAGCACATGCTGAGTCCAAGGATCACAGATATCTGAGAACTGTCCTCAGGCTGCTTGAAGCGGTGGCAGAGTTTGTGGCATTGAGGATTCCATAGGAGGCAGGCTGTTGCAGTTGCCCGCCTCATCCATGGAGGTTATTTGCACAGTGCCGTCGAAGTTGCAGGACCACTGCAGCAGGAGCCGCACCTCTGCAGCACCATGGCAGTCTCCGGCTTCTGCTCTGTAAAGGTAGCTGATGGTAGCTGTACATGTGTATATCTATACACACATATGTATATTAATGTACATGTATATATACATATAGACATACGTGCACGTTTGTCTTTCATTATATGTTTAACTTGTCGGCATATTTGTTCGATAATCCTGTACATAAAACATTTAAAACCAAATTTACCGTAATTGCATTATCTAATCCTCCATGACGTATTGAATAAACAAAAATACAGTTCTGCAGAAGAAAGTTTTGGTAGTGCAAAGTTTGTACCATAATATAGAACAGCATGATGCAGCTGGCTCTAGTGAAAACACAGCATCGTATAGTACCGTATTGCAGATTAGAGCGGAGAAGAGCAGAGTAGGTTGAAGTACAGTAGAGTAGACGAGAACAGACTAGAGCACAGTCGAGTACAGTACAGTGTCGTGTAGAAAGTACATTATAGGGAGCAGGAGTAGAAAACATAGGACAGCAGGACCTCCTGAGCACGCGGGAGACACACACAGAGAGGGAGAGAGAAAACAATGTCAAATAGTATGTGTCGGAGTGACCATAAAGACCTCCAGTGCAAGTGCCCCCCGCATGAACGGTCCTCTAGCTGTGCTGAAGAAAAGAGTGAAACAGAGTAGAGTATAGTACAGACGCCCCAAGTACAGATACAACTCACATAGAGGTTGGTGACGTACCCTTTCTTTCCCATTGTCGCGAACAGATGTCAGAGTGATGTAAGTAGAAAGTGAAGTTCTTCCCATCCAATATGGTGCAGTACCTTATTTACATCACGGACACTGGTAGGTGCCCAATCTCGATTAAATCAGCACTTTTGTCCAAGCCGGTCCCGAGCAAAGCGTGCAAGGACCTACATCCAGAACAAAGACAGCCACAGCCCATAGACACTGCGTCTAAGGCCTCCGGCTCCTCCTCCTCCGACAGATGTCAGCAAGGTGGCCCTTCGGGATCGTCGAAGGCTTCCAGTTCAGAGGGCTTAACATGGGATTTCAGTCCAGGATCATAGGACTTCTGTGCAGGGTTCAGTGTGACTCACACAGGACTTGTGTTTAGGGTTAACTACTACTTACTACTACTACTAACTACTTACTACTACTACTACTACTACTACTACTACTACTACTGCTACTACTACTACTACTACTACTACTAACACTAACACTAACAGTCACTAACACTAACAGTAACACTAACACTAACACTAACACTAAC